AAATAAATGTTGGAAAATATTATTGCAATTTTTTATCTTACTGATAATTAGTAATTAATATTAGAATGTTAAATTTTTTGGATATTCCTACATTTGATTAGCACTTAATTATTAAAAAAGACAAGTCATTTAGATAAGTTAAGGTGATAAATATTATTTTTAATTATTTCTGCACAAGTTTTATTAATAATAATATTTAGAAGCTATACAATTTATATTTATAAAAATTGAACAATGCATTTTTTTAATTTTATTCGAAAATATGACTCTTATAAAATATTAGTATAATATTTGTTTACATTTAAAATACCTTTTGACCCAACCTCATCCTTAATGAGTAACAAATCTTATGACTAACTCAAGGTATTTTTACAAAAAGTGCGTACAACTAAGATAAATTTATTTTCTGATTACGAAAATTGATTTTATTTATTTATTTGTTTATATAGCAATCACACACCTTTTTACTTCAAATAAATATTTTTAAAAAAAAGGCTTGTTCAAAATTAGTAAAAAAAATAATACTTTAAATTTACCTTAAAATTATTGTGTCAAGGTTATGTCCATGAGCTAAAGTATCTGATATTTATTGTATATAATTATAAATATTTATATTAAAAAACACAAATAATTTTTATTTATTTTTATGTACTTTTGTTGTTTTTCCGATTATTGTAAATTTTGATTTATTATTAAACAGCAATAAAATGATTTAAATGATGACGTCATTATGCTACTATTCGTCCTTTGTAGAATACACTCTGTATATTTTAAATAAACTTTGTTTCTTTGTTAATATTATACTCACTATGTACATTAAAGAAGATTTTATGTATACAGATATAAAATACATATTTATATGATTTTTTCTGCTGTATATCTTCAAATCTTAAGCTTAATACTTTTTGAATATTATATAAAATTTTACAAAAGGATAAAAATATGAGTAAACGAATATGATTAAATAAATACTATATTTACATTAGAAATTTTTATTGTGAGCCTTATAATACACTAAACAGTAACTTGTCAGACAGACTTTATTATTTTTAAATATACTACGTATTTGAAATGGTGTATATGTTATAATAGCATATTTTCATTCTAATTAAGACAAATCTAATATCCTTGAATGTATCAGCTATTTCTTCAGCCCATGAAAATCGTTGTCCACGCGCTTTGTCTCTTAGGGTTCCGAAAACAAAAAAGTCAGAGGTTCGCATATTATGACAGTATGTCGAATGAGCTATAAGTGCGATGCTTCGAGTACTTAGAAAATCACTTGTATGTCGAATGACCTATAAGTTCGATGTTTCGAGTACTTAGAAAATCAGTTATTTGAGTTGATATGTATGAGGTCAACCTGTTGTACTGGAAAGTTAGAAGACAGTCTTTAAAAGTTAGTTTCTCTCATTTTTTCGAACATTTCTAACGAGCTAATATTAATTTACTATTTTAAATCAATTAAATATTTAAAATCAAATTATGAGATTTGTCAGCAACACCAACTGACTTCGGATAACCTTTACGAATTTCTCTTTTGAGCCAACGACGCACATGATCAATATCTTCAATTTTTTCTTAAATACATGTATGGTTTTATCAAAAAAATATTTTAACTGAAGAACTTATAAAATTCAAATTTTAGTTTTGGTAATATTTTTGAATTGGCTCCCAGACATATCTCTGTACTCAGATGGATCGGAAAGCTATTATGGCTTTAAAATTAATATATTTTTCGGGTCTCAATTTTAATTGTAATAAAATCTTATAATTTTTTTGTGGGATTTGTTATATCTTATAATTATTATTATATATTTAAAATCTAATTATCTTGCTAAATTAATTTTCCAATCATCGGGCGTCGTTTTTTTGCGAACGACATTTGAAGTGAGCAGTATTTCGTCTACTATCTTTTTCAGCAAAAATGCGTTAATATATTTATTCTTAATCGTACTTGTTATCAAATTTGTGTGTTTTTATGGAAAAAAGCAGTAGAGAGCATGGTTTTCTTCAATAGTTTGAGTATTAGAATATAGTATTGGTATACTTAGAAAACTATATCGCATCTCAAAATAAATAAAGTATGATTATATGACTTATTCTTCTAGTAATTGTATAAACATATTACATATATTCATTTCCAGTAAAACTCTTACCAACAAGGTTATGTTGTATGTCACATTATATACATATATAAGTCGCATAAGTGAATAATTAATCAAATTAAAATCAGCTTAAAGCAGTTTTGCAATTCATAATTATTTCCCCTTGAAATTCAATTCACACAACAAAAACAAGCGATGAACGAATTTGGAAGATGTTAAATAACATTAAACTGGGCTGTGTGCCATAAATGATTTTAATGTTAAGCAGTATTTCACTTAATAACAAAAGCACCATTGTTAAGTAAAACGTGCATATGTTTTTCAATCACTGCCAACTGTCAACTGCCAACTGCACTACACTTGCCATTACTATGCATTACTGCAGCACTAAAAACGAATATTACGCATTAAGCGATAACAATTGCGGCATTAATGAGAGTCATTGTTCACTGAACGCACTTTTTCATTCGATTGCAGTAATTACACTAAAATTAAAGAGTAAAATCGTAGTAAAACACTTAAGTCTCTGCTCAATGAAAATATCTACCTATTTATAGATGTGAGTGGACTGTATGAATGTATGAATGTATCTGCATGAATGAGTCTATGTCTGTAGTTTGTTAGTCGACGTTGTGGCTTCCATGCATTCTTTGTTGTGTGCCGTCGGTTTGTTTACGTTTGCGGTTGTGTGGTTCCTAACAAAGTCATTCATCCATAGATTCCTTCTTCAATCTTCTCATAGTTCAGAATTATTAAATTCAACAAAAATTTTAAGCAGTATTTGTGCAATAATGAATGGAATTCCCACCTGGCGTGCACTTGGCCAAAATTATTTCCATACAATTTAGCAGCTTTCAGATTTCAAATTATGTATTGTTTAATTAAATAATTTTAAATTTAATGAATTATGAATGATAAATGATGAGATAGAGTCATTCTATGTCACATTTCTGACGATACTTTAATTTGCGAGTTGTTGTTTTTATTACATTTAATGGCGTGATAATTATTTTAAACGGTTTTTAATTATTTTTTAAAGATTCTATTCTAGGAATTTCAACGCGATAATAATATAATATTTTTTAGTTAATGACTTCTGAGTAAAATGATAAAGGGAATACTATTTTCGTTCTTACGTTTTATAATATACATATACGTAATCTATAAGTATTATAGTTATAGTTCAAAAGTTTGATTGACTTCTTTCGCAGGGCAAAGTGTTATAACAATTTTTTGTTATAACACTCTATTCTTGGTTATTTATGACTTGTAAAAATATTTAAAAGTTTTGTATTATAAAAAAATTAATATATATTGCATATATGTGTGTATGCGTAATAATAAAGAAAGATTTATGAACAAATATTTATAATATAAACTTATATAATGTATGTATAAAATCTGGAATATATGGGATATATCAAACCCTTGATCTAAACTGACTACACTTTGTGCAAATAGTTTTAAATTTCTGTTTGCAGACCATACTCGAAAAAAATATATAATAGTAATAAATTCTTCTTCATTATTCCATTGCGTTTCGAAGAGAAATATTCGGCCTTAGTGTTCATTCTCTAACGAAAAGATGATAACGTGAGTTTCGGAACTCCAAATCCGTTGTGCGTGCTGCCAAAGCAATTGGATTCGCCGTATTTGTACGGATACCACTTGTATAATTCCACCAGGTTTAGAATCATGTTTTATTTCTAGAAAATAGTTAAAGAAGGGAGCAAAGCACTGGCGATGGGTTACAAGCACAATGTCAGCCGTGTAAGCTTTACACGTAGCGACAGGTCACTAACCTGGAGAACAGACGCATTTTGCATCCGCTCTTTATGAGGACCGACGCTATATTGTGGACTCCTCATTCATTACTTCTCATTCGACCTTACCGACAAGGGAACTCCTACCAGTAGCATGCTATCGCCGACATCGCACGAAGATTCTACGTAACTACTGGGTCACCTCATCACGTCAAACTGGCAGTCCCCGAAAGTATTAAATTAGTCAGTGTAAACGCAGAGTAATACTGCTTCAAATATCTTTAAACTTTTCAAAGTTTTGTAAAATTTGATCTTTGAGCGCAATGAACTGCTAAGATATGATTGAACTCGATCGATGATGAACTCAATGATGTTATATATGTTCGTATATAACAATACTAAAATAATATGTGTACATTAAACAGATCAGTGTTTGAACAATTTGAATAACTTCGAATAATAGAATTTGATTATATTCAAAATGCTTAAACAATCTGAAGTATTAATTCTTAATTATTTTTGATTAAATAAATACCAACATGTGTTATACCTGTGATATTGCAACAATTCTAACAGTTTTATATATTACTAAAAATTTAGTAACTTAAAGCTAACACAAAATTCATTAATATTAGGTTCATATATTAATTGTCTTTCTATCTGTAAATAATTTCTTTGACTTAGATAGATTGAATATTGCTTAGTCCATTTTATTCATCACTAGCCCCACATATTTAGCAAATATCACTAAGCTACATGATTTCATTTAGTAGCCGTAAATCAATTGTTATAAATTGTACTTTAACAAAATATATATCTATGTCTATTTCCATTAAGAATTTTATTGAAAAAATAATTTATGATGTTAATATCTTTTTAATGACCATTTAAGTGGATTTTATCGTTTTTTGTCTAAAACTTTTAAAATTAATATTTCATTTATTTTACCAAAGCCGATATGGCATTTATATTTTTCTTCGAATTTGAAATAAAGAAACAAAATATTTAAGAATTTTAATTGTAATTTAAAAGTAATTATTTATGGTTTATTTATAAATATGAAGAAACTCGTTCTATTATATATTATTTAAAAATTTTAATAAATTAAAAAAACTCTTTTTCTTTTCAGAATTTTTCAATATTTATTTGGTGCTCAATATAGCCTGACCGAAATCTATCTGAAGTCGAAAAGGTAATATATTTGCTTTTGTTTATTTATATGCTGTCAAATAAGGCACAATATATAATAAAAATATAAAATGATAAAAATCATATATACAGTTAAAATATAGAAGTTAAGTCAATTGTCAGAAAATAGCTAAATTAAATAAAAATGAGAAACTGCTGTAAAAATATCGTTTTTATAATGGAACATATTACAATAATAATTTTTATGTTTTAAAATTAATTTAAAAATAAAAAAAAACATTGAAAAATAAAACAATACGGATTTGACAACGTATTTTAATCAAAATCAGTCGACTATTTTAAACCACTATTTCAACTTCTTCATTATAGGTCTATATAGTATGTAGTATACTATATACCATATATTAGTAGCTCAGTTCCAAATAACTATAAGTTATGTCTTTAAACTTTTATAGTTCTATAAACTTGAACCAAAATAAGTAGCTCTAGCTTTGGCGAAGAATTATAATTATAATTATAATTAACTCTTTTTCGTTGTTAAGTTTTGAAGTAGTAAAAATTATTTCTAAAAATAATTTATTATTTATTATTTTTTCTAAAAATAATTTTTAATATAAAGATAATTTCTCAGTTTGTTTCGTTGTGTTGTAAAATAAACAGAATTTGTAATTGAATCTTGTTAAGTATTAAAAGCCAATTTGAACTGTGTTTACTGTTCAAGTCTAGGAAGATCAAAGCTTTTTCTTGAGCGGTTATACGCAACCTTGTGTTGTTTGGTCATAACAACCCGTTACCGGATTTCGGCATATCTCTTTAGGTGCCTCTGCTGCGTATGCGTCTTTTCCAGTCCATTTTCAGTTGATTACTCCACAGAAGATATGGTCTTCCTCTACGACTTCTTTCTAAAACTACGGCTTCAAATAGCTTTTTCGCTTGAGATCTTCATCCATTGCGATAAGTGATCACTTTGTCTGAAGCCTCACACGATATCAAAAGGTTCGGGAAGATTCGATTCTACCTTGACGGAGTTACGTGTATTACTCAAGCCGTATTAATTTTACAGGAAGACCGAGCTCAGATATTGCAGTATAAATGCGCTCACTTATTGGGCTATCGATAGCTGCTTTATAATCGATAAAAAGGTGTTGAGTGTGGATATTATATTTGACAAAACTGTTAAGTTTAATTACACCATGAATTGCAAAATAATAAATCCTTAAAAACAATTATAAAAACATTAGATTTAAAATGAATTTCGTATTTTCAAATTTTTATAAGTTGCCTCTGTCTTGAAAAGATACATTAAAGAAATGTATATGGCAAAAAATAATAATGTATTTAAAAAAAACATTTAAAAACAATTATAAAAACATTAGATTTGTTAAAAGTTATGTCATTTTAAATGTTTATAGGTAGCCTCTGTCTTGAAAAGATTCATTAAAGAAATGATATAAAAAACTAAGAAAAAATTTAAAAAGGTATATAAAAACTATGAAAGTAATGTTTAGCTATTTTAGACTTCTTACTATAGTTTAAAAAAAAAAACTTAAGAATTATTTTCATTCTTTATAAAGAACTTAATTAAACTTGAATTAGAGTTACGTGCCTTAGAGCTGCGCTTCTTCCATTTAGTATTTAATCAGCGTTATTTTGTTATTTTACTTCGCAATGTTTTTGTTTTGGATTGTTTTATTTGAATTACTCAATGACTTCATTAAAATTCATTGCACAATTTATTATCATTGCTCTTAATTAGCAAATAAAATAGCAAAATAATAATATAAAATTACACACAGAAAAACGAGAGTAAAAAAATCGCAGATTTAATTAAGCGCCGTACAATACAATAAAATTGTTGAGAATTAATTACGGGTGACAGCTTTGGAAAGAAGAAAGTAATTCAGATACACAAGTTGACAAGAATTGGCGAATGAAGTACAGTAAAAATTACCATTAAAATTGCAAATAAAAGATGGAACACAATACAGATTTATGGGTTCAAGAGATTATTTCTTAATTGAAGTCCATTGAGGTCCATTGAAGTCCATTGAAGATATTGATGCGCAATGAGATCATGCAGTAGCATAGTACATTCAAGTTGGTTAGTTTACTATTAACACGGCGAGTCAACAGTTGTGATTTATTGTTGATTTGTTCACCACTCTGATGACATCAATATTTCAGTATGCAACAGGGTATAAAATAGTCATGGTCAATACTTCACAATACCTATCTGGTAACAAAAGTTTTATTTATAAATGCTGGTATGCTGGTATTTAACCAAGCCGCTGTTAACACTTCAATGCGAGTGTATATACAATGCTTAAAAATATACGTAAAATATGGCAATTGTCGGTTTGGCAAATAAATTTACATAATTTTAAATACTCATGTTTTTCAAGTGAGTTTCCGTAATTTATGTTGATTTACATGAGGCTTTGGCTTCAATTTCAGTATTGTCAGGCGCTACTCAAATTAGTCATTCACAATTTGCATGTCAACAGCAGTTTTAAGCGTTTTAAGCCATGACAGCGTAAAACGTTTTGACAGCCAGACACAAAACCTAAACAATCATGATTATTTGTCAACATTTATTTAATTTTTACTTATTGTTGCTTCTCGCAATTGTGCTGTTGTACAGCACATAATGACAAATGTCGGTAGTTTGTAAAGCATAGATACAAAATATTTAGAAAAACATTTGTATGAAGCTGGCTGGGTATGCATTTATTAAGTAATGTACTACGAGATGAAGTAAAACACTTGTTGAGGCCTCACATCCCAAACTTAACCGAATTTTGATTTTTTTTATTTGTATGTTTTCTTATTTACTTTTTAGCAATTTTTTCTCACTTTCGTTATTTATTGCCTTTTTAACGATTTTGCAAACAAAAATGTAAAAATCATAAATCTTCTCTGCACTGCTTCCATATTGATTTATTATTCTTTTCATCAAGTTTAAAGTGAAAATTGGTATAATTTTTCCTCACTTTTTTTTTTTCGAAAAGTCTATCTGAGCCTAATTTTGACGTTAATGTGACAGCTGTCAATTTTTACTTCACAGCAATTTCTGAGCCAATTTATAGTTATCAATTTTTAATCACCTTCATTTGCTGTTTTTCTTACGTATGAGCGCATTTTGTGCTGAAAATTAATTTGCCTGAAGTATACTTTTTATGCTATATTGAATTTTGATATTTCATCCATTAAATAAACTGCTCATATTGTATTTGTGTTCATACTGCCATAATTTTCAATTCACATATTATTTATTTAATAAATGCGGTACACTTAAATGCGGTACATCAGTTTAAAGACTTATTTAATCAACTTGCAACCAGGGCTCTCATTGCCTCAAGTATGCTTAACTAGTAACAGTCAATTTTATTATTAAACAAATATTTTTAGAACTTAAACATATATGAATATCACTCATATCTTCTTCCTTCTATGTTAAAGCTATTTTAAAACCCGTCTTTACGCCTTGACTGGATTAAAGTTAATCACTTAATCAGACTAAGTAATAATTGCCTAAGATCTGCATACCTCCCCGATTTTTTTCAAGGAATTTATACAGAAATATTAACATCTTTGATCCGATCAAAATATACATAAAGGATAGAGCCCTTAAATTATTTGCGAAAACTCACAGACTTACCAATGCCGCATTATGGTTACAGGCTCCATACGGACTATAAACTTACCAAATTCGACTATTTCCTAAGACCACTAATGATGACTACTTGGCAATACTTGAAACAACGTTGTATCGTCAGCCAAATTTCAATAAATTAACTAAAATTTTTTGTTGTTGTTTTTTCATTACTGCTTGAACAGTTGTTCAAAGTTGCTTTTTTGTAAGAAAGCATATCTCTAATAAAAACTTAAAATATACAACTAATACTATTTAGTATTGCTTGTTTAAAGTAAATTAAGAGATGTCTTTTTTTATACTTTTTTATACCAGGAGTGCAGTACTGATTTAGAATAGTATAGTTATTTAATAATAGTATCAAGTTTCAATGTAGAGTACATATGACATTTGTGGGTTTAGGACAAACGATTTATTGACTAATCGATTACCGCATTCAATCATTTCCTGTTTTTATCATATAATTAGCATATTTTATATTAAATTGAAACAATAATTTGTTGCTTTATAATATATAATTATAATTTTAGGGTGTTAATATTTTCAGTTGCGCTTTCCATATTTTTCTAAATGCAAATACACGTCTGAACTCTATTACTCCAAAAGAGACACATAGTGCCTTTCTACATTTTCTACCTACAACTATTGTTTCAAACATTGTATTGGTGTATCGTCGTATATTCTCGAGATATGATGAAGTTAGTAAGCTGTTAATTCACTGAATTTCCATGATATCTTTGTTGTTAGTTAGGGTAGAAGAAGTGAAAGTAGAAGAAATATTTAACAGCTTTAAAAATAATAGTCATCAGCGGACATGTACTTCATGTACCAGTATTCTATTTGTCTATTGAATAATTCATATATTATTCACTTCTCGATGTGTAAGGTATCTGCCTTTTATTTTTATATGCTACGCAATTTTAGACCTTCTCTATTGTGTGTAAGCTTACAGATTAGTTGCGAACATTAGACTAACTTCGTCAAGTTGTCTAAGTTCCAGTTGTTGTGAATGTGGACGTCCTTAGAAAATAAGGATTCTCCTTCAATATTTCTTTTAATTCAATGTTTTTGGCTGATTAGATCGTTTTATATCGTTTTATATCGTTCGTAGTACCAGTGCTTATTTCACAAGTTTGAAAGAATTTTTTGCAGATACTTTTATATAGAATACATATTCTTAATCGGCTGTCTTTAAAGAATTGTTTTAAAAAAAATTTGTATGATAAACTTTTAGCAAATTTAATATTTTTGAAGAAATTAAAGTATTTATTATTTATATAGCCAACAATTAAGTTTTACTGTGCCGCACTTTATAGATGCAAATAAGACCGGAAGTGATTAAAAGCCGGAAATTAATTCACACATTAAATAATGACATGACATGAAATAAC